AATACAGTAATGTCACTTCCTGGTTCAACGATTGGTGCAGAACGGGCGCGGACGACCGCGCCAAACGCAGCCGCACTGACCCGGCCACGACAGTCCGTAATGAAGGAGAGTACTATATGTACTATATACCCCTTCCACATCCCTCGACATCAATTTTCGGGTAGAAGTAGGAAAATCTCCGGGATTCTGGAAGAAGTGGTAAAAAGAACTTGGGAAAAATCTAAGAAATGCGAGAGAGGGAGGTCGTATTTTCCTTGTGGTTTTTCCCATTTTCCCGTCCAGGAAGATTCCCAACTAAAGGACTGGGAAAAGTTGGGTAGGATGGGAAGCGAGGGGCCGGCCCCTGCTCGACCAAAAGCCAAAGCCAAAAGCCAAAATCTTGGGAAAGACAAATTCCATAGAAATTTTTGAAAAAGCGATTAGAAGGTTGGGAAAAGTTGGGTAGGATGGGGAAGCGGGGGAGGGGGTGGAAGTTGTAGTAGATGACGAAATTTGAGGAGGAGATCGTATATCCCGTAAATTTTCCCCAGCACCAGGAGGTGCCCTGGTGTCAATTGACTGGAGAGATAGCACGCGAAAGAATCATCCGTCTCCCGATCTAATACACACTATTTTTAGATAATCATCGTCGTTTTGTTGATTATGGCAATGCACTCTGCTTTCGCCTTGGCATTGATGACAACTGCATTCACGAGTTTAGCAAAAGAACCAAATAAAGCATATCTTTGCTTTGTTGTCACGGACCTGCTAATGGATCTGTAAGCTATTTATTCTCAATGAATTTTTTCTTGATAATCTTTTCTAATGAAAAAAAATTGTGGACGGGTTCGCTTGTATACGGCGTGCCAAAGGTTCTTGAGCAAATATGCTTTGCCGATTCTGAAGTACGTAAAGCCGGCTGCTTGCCGAGTTATATAGTCCAGCGCCTACAGGGCATGACCATGGACTCAGCTAGTTGTTGGGTAGGCGCTGCGACGGCATATTCGCGGAATCAAGGTACAGTCCCATCAAGATAGGGGGTGGTACTCGATCGCCGGGGACAGGGATTTTATGTGCCTTTGAGAGGATTTTTTTCGACCGACCTGCGAAGACTTTTCTCCCGGTTGTAGACATCTCTCCTTCCAGCGTTTCATGTTCACTATGTTCCTTCCTGCGCGGCTGTGTCTCGCACAGCGGTCTTAGTCGCGACGCGACGCCGCATGTCCCCCCCCACTCCGTTCCAAATGTCCGCCAAGCCATTATGTATGTGATGAAGTTGGTGCTTTAATGACCTATCCTTGAAGTTCTGACAGCTCGGGATATTCATGAATCTAATGTAAACTAGCCGTCTCGAAACAATCTTTGACAGAAAGAAAGAAATCAATATCGGATCAATTTTTCTCATACTGCCGCCAGGCTACGTACAGGAATGAAAGAGCTTACCGTACCACCGAGAAATGTTGCATTTACGACTGTAGTTGAGAACGGATGTAGGTGGTAGTCAAGGGATTGCGAAGAACGCTGAGCCGAGCTTGAAGAGCAACATATCCCATTAGTTTGGAGCGCCGGTGATCTCTATAATCAGTAGAGCCACTTGTTGTGCTGAAACCTCTGAACTTGGTGTCCGTCAAAGTTGCTACTGAACTCTCTCAAGAATTTCTCAGTTGTGCGTTTATACTCCACGATTCAGTAGCTAACAGTCGTTACGAGACCATCAGCCATAGTCGCAGCAGCGCAGCGCCGTCGCTCGCAGGCTTGTGGATCTCAAAGTATGAAAGCGAGCCCGTCCGCAAATTCTCCGGTTCGGCGTTGGGTATGAACGCACCTAGTGACTGACGAGTATAGATCGTAACAAAAAGTACCTTTTTCAGATTAACACTGATCGAAGCTCTGATAGCTGGCATTGCATTGGGTTCATGGCGTCGTTTGATGGGAAGATGTCCGCGACTACACCGCTTCTTCTATTATTGTTTATGCATTACTCCGCCATTCAACAGTATTCCAGAGCAACATAACAGTATTCAGGAACATTTCGATCATCTGAAACAAGCTTGGGAAAAGTGATATTAACCGGGAAACAGTAATCGATCAAATAGCCGCAGAATTTATGCCGATTGTAAATAAAATTCATACCTTACGGTTACGCTTTTCTTTTCTTATAAGGAAGAGGGGGCATCGCTTGTACGTGATCAAAAAAACTTTCCGAGAGCAAAAACGAGAGCTTTTTTCTTCTCCGTGCTCTCCTCCGTCCACATTTCAAAGTGGGTGGGGCCCTGACTTCGATCGATACTTGACCTGGGGCTA